GAAATAAACATTTGAAATATATGAGTTTGTATGTAATGTATGAATATAATATACAAGTTTCACTTTTTAAATGGAATTACTGAAATAAATCTACTTTTTCATGATATTCTAATTTTATGACCAGCACCTGTATAAATAAACTGAATTGAATTGAACTATTTGGGAAAATACTGATGACAAAAACAGGGATGATTATTAATTTAAGTGACAAGAATTGGGTTTATGAGTAGAAAAACATTTACCTTTTACATAATCAAACCCAATCATTAAAGAAAGACCTCATCAACAGTTATATTGTATGAGCGATTCACCGCAGTCCTCCTCCTTCAGCCGTGGGATGTAACAACCTTTGAAAGCACAAACGAGAGGATGTAGCAGGCCTTGTGGCAGCCTTTTGAAGTAAAGGCGCTCATGCAAAGACTGACTGTAAATGACTGTCACCCCTGCGGCGTGCACTCCTTGCCCTGCAGGCAGAGGGATTGCACCTGCATCCAACCAAGGAACTGTGCTGGCACGGCCTCGGTGACCTCCGGTCTCCAGGCAACTGCCTCGAACTGCAGGAGATGTGTGTGTTTTCTTTTTTTGAAACTTCCAGAAGTCACAAGCTTAAAAAAAAAAAAAAGGAAAACCAGCCTGCTGCAGGCCCCTTCATTAGCAAAGTGAGTTGTTTGGCTTGTTAGATGGTAGGAAGAGGAAGAAAAACAATCTGTTTATCTTAACCTCTAGGAGTTGCTCCAAAGACAACTTTTCTGCCTCAATCTGGCAGCTTTATGCCCCTAAAATGTAAATAAACAAAAGACATTTCATATATTTGACTAAGAAATACTTGCTAATGACAGGTTTCTGTAAACTTATTAGCATTTTCATCGGTGACACCTCCAGAAAATGTTTTAATTGGTCCCCAAAATTAAAGAACTTCAGAACGTTTTAGGGAATGACCTCATGAGCCGGCGATGATTTTTACTTCCAGCGGGGTCACTGGTGCCCACCTCCATCGGTCACTCTAGAGACGGGATGTTCACGAACGAGCTGAATCTTTTGAACGGCTCCTTACGACGAACAATAGGAACCAAGTTGCGGGCAGTAAAGAGCCATCTTTATTTTTTTTCCATCGTCATATTTTTTTATCTTTTCATCTTTAACCACAAAGACAATCCCGCTTTGAAAATATGCAGAGTGGTGGAGTACAGCAGCTCATGGGGCAAGGTGGAGGGGTTTACACCTGACAAAACACACGTTTCCACCAATATGATGATGATGATGCTGTCAGGTGTGTCATTTTATTTATTTTATTTATTTATTTACTGTTATTTTACCAGGCAAGTCCCATTGAGATCTCAGATCTCTTTTTCAAGGGAGGCCTGGGCCTGAAGGCAACCTATTGTACATGTTTTTGTGTTGTGGGGGAAACCGGAGTACCCAGAAAAAAACCCACGCAAGCACGAGGAGAACATGCAAACTCCTCACAGAAAGACCCCAGGTCCAAACCGGGGATCGAACCCAGGACCTTCTTGCTGTGAAGCATCGGTGCTAACCACTGAGCCGTCGTGCCGTCATGTGATGATGCAACACATTCAAAATTGAACGACTCCATGAAGCGAACAAATCTGGACCCCTTCGAAGAGCCATTTATCCCACTGTGAGAGGCAGGGGACACCATGCTCAGGTGTCCATCACAAGGACACATAGAGATAAAAAATGCAAAAAAACAAAAAAACAAAAACCATGCATTGGAGTTAAGTCAAGTGGTTCCACTCATGGGTTGAATAAATATTAAAACAACTTTCACTTTAAAAGAATCTGAAAGTTGCTTTATTACTAAGCTCTGAACCACATGACTTAACTTGGCTGAGTAAATCCAACACATCTGTTTTTCTGAGTGACATCTGGGGACAAGAGGTATAGCAATGAAACTAAAATGCAGATTTTTGGTCTGTTGGAGGAAACCAGCAAGAAAACCCAAACATTGGTTCAGGATTCAATCCTACAAACGTCTCACTTGTTTTCAAATTAAAAAAATAAAACGAGACTCATGAAACTAACTTAAACCAAAAAGTTACAGTAAAAAAAATAAAGATGTTCTTCCTCACTGTAAAAATGAAATGTTGGATTTACTTAACCATGTTATGTGACCTGGTTCCACTTAACTGAGTTGAGTAAATTCAAAGCAATATACCAGATTTTTAACCAAAGAACATGAGCATGCTGCTTTGAATTTACTCATCTCAGTTAAGTGGAACCAGGTAACACAACGTGGTTAAGTAAATCCAACAATTCATTTTTAGAGTGCTGTGTGTGTGGGTTTCTTTCCACAGACCTGAAACAAGCAAATTATTTCAATTAATAATTGTCTTGATGTTAGTGATTATCTGTGTCTCTGCAATGGACTGGATGTCCAGGGTGCCCCCCACCTTTCCCACACTGACTGGTGAAAGCTCCCCACAGCCCAGAAAGGAGAAAAAAGAATGGAAATTTAAACTGTTGGAGGTTTAGTCACAAAGACCTCTGCAGAGATTATACAGCTTAATCATTTTGTTCACAAATGATTTCTTGTCTGTGGAAGAGAAAAAATGTTTTGTAACTTAAAGCTTTTTTTTGTAACCACTTTACATGAAAACATAAAGCTGATTTGCTCATTTTAAATAAAAACTATCAGCAAAGACAAACTGTATATTTAAGTTGAATTGTTTCCACCCTTTTGATTCAATAAAGTTTCTATTATTTTAAATTATCCCAACAACTTCTTTGTTAAATTGAATTTATCTTAACATCATTAAGGTTTATTATATAAAATAAAAGTTGACTCTAGACTCTTTGTAATGAGTTTTAATAGTAGCTACACGTGTTGTAAATGCGTTCTGGACCACCCCACCAGCTTTAACTTTAATTTCCTGTATTTTTTTTATTATTGAGTCACTGCTCCAAACCGACCGAACCTAGCTTTTAGAACCGAACATCATCTTACCCGCTTTGCAGGGATCCTTATAATCGATCAGGTCGTGTCGGGGAGGAAGGCTCGTGTCCTCCGCGGGTTCTCCATCAGAGCCGCTCAGAGCGCACAGCAGGAGCAGGAGCACCGGAGCCACGTCCATCTCTGACCATCAAATAAGCCCAGGAGGAAACAGCTGAGAGGTGCGGATTGTCGGAGGAGTCCAGGGCTCCATTAAAAAAAAAAAAAAAAAGAAGAAGAAAAAGTTCCTTGACAGCGGAGGGTTTTTTTTCCCATAAACAGCACGTCTCCATGCAGCCGCGGTGACGCGTGCGCAGCAGGCGCGTGCAGCGTGCACCTGCAGACATCAGGGCCTACATGTTTATTGTGCCTAATTAAGTGCTAATAGTCAATTCAGATTATCTGTGGTTCCGTTTTAATGAACTCAGTTACATTTGAGACCACATGATGAACAGAGAAACCCCCCAAAGTATCATTTCATAAACAAGAAATTGCTTTAAACACATTAGGAGTGTTTTTTTTCCTTCGTGGGTTACACCAGCATCCAGCCCACATGCATGTGGAAACACTGACTCATCTACATTTTGGAGCTGAAATATAATAAAAGCAGAGACTTCCTGTAAAAATCGGTTTTAAAGGTGAAAAGTAATGACTTACAGAGCTGAGCTCACCAAACACCAGGATAAATTTTTTTTAAATAAATAAATAAAAAAAGCTGAAACTGCTACTGCTTTGTTCATTCAAATGATGAATCATCATATTCCTACTGGTTCTGATACCGGTCCAAACGAACATCTGTGTTAAAAACGACAATCAGAGCAGTTTAAAACTGTCATCAAACTACCACATGCTGTTTCAAAGTCTCATTTTAAATGTTAATATTCAAGTGCTGTAAAGCACGTTAAATTAAACTTGATCAGTTATGGCAACAGAACCTCAGATGGCGTGGATCCCTTAAAATCTAATATTTAAAGCTGTTGTTTAAAGCATGACAAAGCTTCACAACTCATTAGATCTAGAATGTATCAACTTTAACTACAATTACAGAACTGAGTGCACATTCTTTCACAAACAGAGTAAAACTTTAGATTTATTATGATTTTTGAAGTCTTAAGCACAGTAAAACTATCTAATCTGTCACACTTAAAAAGGGACTCAGACTTAAACAGAAACCAACCAAACTCTGTCCAACAGTTCCCAATTGGCGTAGGCTTTATTAAATTATAACTATTCTTTTCCAGTAATATGAGCTTTTACATTATTGATAGCTAAATTAGTCTGATGATCTATAAACCCATCCATCCATCCATCCATCCATCCATTCTCTTCCGCCTATCCGGGGTCGGGTCGTGGGGGCATCAGCTTCAGAAGGGAGGCCCAGACCTCCCTCTCCCCAGCCACTTCTTCCAGCTCCTCCGGGGGAACTCCAAGGCGCTCCCAGGCCAGCCGAGAGACATAGTTCCTCCAGCGTGTCCTGGGTCTTCCTCGGGGCCTCCTCCCGGTGGGATGTGCCCGGAATACCTCACCAGGGAGGCGTCCAGGAGGCTTCCTTACCAGATGCCCGAGCCACCTCAACTGGCTCCTCTTGACGTGGAGGAGCAGCGGCTCTACTCTGAGTCCCTCCCGGATGACCGAACTTCTCACCCTATCTCTAAGGGAGAGCCCAGCCACCCTGCGGAGGAAACTCATTTCGGCCGCTTGTATCCGGGACCTCGTTCTTTCGGTCATGACCCAAAGCTCATGACCATAGATGAGGGTAGGAACGTAGATCGACCGGTAAATCGAGAGCTTCGCTTTCTGACTCAGCTCTCTCTTCACCACGACGGACCGGTACAGCGCCCGCTTTACAGCAGACGCTGCGCCAATCCGCCTGTCGATCTCCCGCTCCGTTCTTCCCCCATTCGTGAACAAGATCCCCAGATACTTAAACTCCTCCACTTGAGGCAGGACGACCCCCCTGACCCGGAGGAGGCACTCTGCCCTTTTCCGGCTCAAGACCATGGCCTCGGATTTGGAGGCACTGGATCTATAAACCACTGAGGTAAAAATCATTCCTTAACTCAAATAATGAACATGGTTGAGCTGATAAATCACAACGAATCCAGCTTTAAACTGGAGTTTCAGGCAGTTTTTTTTTTTCATATAGCTATTTAAAACCAACTATTCACATTTATATTTGTATGAGTTTTTAATAAATTAGTTGAAAAGATGAAGCGTCTCTCAGCTCCTCTGACTTTCAGATAGGCCCATTTTTCATGTAAAGGTTTATTTCTAAGCTTTGAGACTGATGATATTAGAAATGAGTCGACACATTTAGGATTAGGCTCAGATATGCCATAACTTCAGTTTTCACAAGAAGTTTTCAGTTCTACACATTGAATGCAGATATACTGTATGTGAAGAACAGGTGAAGTGTTTTCAATAATTCGCAGAGTTCATGCTTGGACCACTGTGTGGCGCTGATGGATAAGGTCCAGAATCACCTTCTACAGAACTGAAGAGAACAAAGAGAAGCCTGTCCAAGAAGTGTTTCAAAAAATAAATAATAAATAAATAATTAAAAAAACATTTCATCAGTCAGATGAAGGAAAATAAAAAACTCACCAACATGTGTGTTTTTATTATCATTCACACTGGTAAAGTGACTGGAGAGTGAGGGAAGATCCTGAGACTCCCTCCTCCTGCTGATGTGGAGCTGCTGCAGCTCAGATGGGACTTTAATCCAGACAGAGGAGCACTTGATGCCATGGAGATCCCTCTTCACTGGATGGCCGTCCACGCCGGAGCGCTCTGAGAGAGAAGACGAGAGGAAAACTTCATCTGGATGATTTTCATAGTGATATTTCGCCTCACTTTGGTCGTCTTAAGCTCAGAGTGATGTTCCAGTTCTGCAGACAGACCCAGCTCTTTGTGGAACTGGGAATCCTGGTGGGGATCCTGGTGGTCGTTGGTTCGGGGCAGGTTTATGAGATGAAGGAGCCGGGGTCATCCTGCTACGGAGGATTTGACCTCTATTTTGTTCTGGATAAGTGAGTTCTGCTGTTTCACCTCTCAGGAGAGGACGTTTTACACTGAGTTTGATGTAAACATATTACAGATAAATATATGCAAACCTTCCAGTTATAATTCAAACTGTTTAAAATATCTGTACTGATTGTAGTTCTTGACAAGTATTAGATTTGAGTGTTGTTAAATATGCAGATTCATAAAAGAAAAATAAGTTTGCATTTGAAGCAGTTTACTGTAATAGTGATTTGCAAAACAAAAATAGTTTGGGGCAACAGCTGAGTTTAAATCATTAGTTTTTGAAATCAGTCGATTAGTTTGAGCTGCAGAAAATATCAATAAGTAGAGAAAAATGTCCTGTGGAGTTTGCAGAAATCAAAAATTCTGCGAGATGCTCATAAATTTCCAAACAAGTAAAACAAAGTTGTTTCAAACTTGAAGCACTGTTATTCCTGTACTAAAAGCATATCACCTGTCACCATCTAGACTACTTTAAGATCTATTTATTTGAGCGTTATAATTTTGGGGGGTCAAATCCTAAAAATAAAATTATTTGAAATGTCATATCTTGCATGATATGTCAATGCTTGAAAAATGTGTTTCAAATGACTCTACCACTTCAAAGTTCAGCTCAATATCTGTAAAATTCAGGGTTCAAGATCTTTTTCTGAAGGCTAAAGTCAGTTAGCTGTGGCAGCCACCTTCAATTAGTTTGAATTCAAGAATTTACAAATGAACATTGGTGGGCAGCACTAATCTAAAAATTAGTTCCACTAGCCCTGAAACACCAACTCAAATACTATAGGTCCCCTAATTTTAAACCACTAATGCACTGAAAACCTTAGTGAAAGCTAATTCTAAAGCACTAAAATAACCCAGTCAACCCATGAACATTCTTCAACAGTCAACATGAGTCACATATTGACATGTTGCTCTCTTAAGACTCATCATTGATATTCCACAGCTGTATTTGTGTTCACACACTGTCAATATGTCACCTGGTAGATAAGTGACACATATGAACAAAATGTGTGACAGTTTTCACCCTTGGCTGTTAACATTAACGTTGATCAATAACATTTAAAGACCTCAGTTAGTGCTTCTAATTTTAGCCTAAATTTAGCAAATGCTAATCCACTAATACATTTTTAATTAGTAAAAGCCCCAAAGCACTAATCACTAATTAATTCCCCTATTAGTGCTTAAAGGGAACTGTGCCCACCACTGCCGATGAACATCTAAATATTACTTTCCATTAAGTTCAGTTGAGATATTTAAATGAGATATTTTGCTAACAGTACAAACTAATGCGCACAGACAAGTTAGTATTTCTATCTTTATAGAGCTCTTCATTGATTTTCATTCATTTTCAGTAATTTCTATAGTCGAACCCTGAACCCTTTACCCTAAACCCAGACACAAAAATGGAGTTCCAACAAATTAGGATGTCTTTGGCCCCCATAATGACTCCTGAAACAGTCTTAAAAAGGTAACAAATACAAAAGTACAAACACGTTTTGTGTTTTGCCATCTTCACGGGGACTTTGCATTGATTTCTATTCATTTTTCTTTAATTTATATTGCCTAACACTTACCGGGAACCTAAACTCCCCCTCAGTTCAAAACGTCATTTGAAGTTATGGGGTCTGAGGGATTGCTGTATATTTTGGGGAAATGGGCCTACAAAGTCATGCTAGAACACAAACACACAAACACACAAGGAAAATCATAATTTTGTCACTGTCATCGGAAAGCAATAATTATCCCTAATTCTCAAAACATCTAATGCGCATGTTAGTATAATTTAATGAAATCATCGTTGTGCAACTTCCCTCATCAAAAACAAAATCAGATTGCTCAAGTCTTTGGACAAGCAACAACAAGGAACAATAAGTTTTAAATTACACTCTTATGATGTTAACATGAAGCTCCAGAGCAGGTTATTTGTCACACGCTCCGACGCAGATTTAAAGCATGTTTCTGTCCCTCACTTCTTCATCTGCCATGTGTTTATGCAATATGTGAAATGATAAAACGCTCTGCGGGGACGTCTGCTGTCAAACTGCAGCCGTAACTCTCTGACAGGAGCAGCTTTCCGAAGCAGAACCCTTCCTCCATCAGAGCCAGATGTTCCAAAGATCCGGGCGCTCTGGCTCATCTCTCCGCTCAGACTGCAGGATAAATGAAAACATGAGGAGGAGGAGGAGAAGTCCGGTGTGGGAGGAGGTGGAGGCTGTTTTAGGCCCAAATTTCCACCAAATTACTGGCATCGACTTGAAATGTTTGTGCTCCTCTGCTGATTTGTTTGTCGAAGCTGCAAACAAACTCTGGACTCAAAGGAACACAACAGAACCCAATGATGCTTCCATTTAGTTTGCCTCCAGATAAACACATGCATTAGCTTTTTTACCTTTAAATGGAAATGATTTTTCAAAAAGTTCCTTTTTTGTGCAAATTTATAAAGAAACAATATGATTTCTTAAGTGATGAACACAGAAACAACAAACTTTCTTCCTTTTTGTCCTTAAAATTTAACATTTAAGTTGGGTCAACATAATAATTTTGCTTTATTTCAACAGTTCTGTGAGCTGAGTCTGATTCATTGTATCTCAGCGGGTCAAATTCAATTTCCCTGCCAATTATTATTCCTATTTTTTTTAAATTGGCTGCCACAAATAGGTTTTTAATTGTTTTTCAGGTCTGGCAGTGTGCAAGGTTATTGGAATGAGATCTATTACTTCGTGGATCATCTCGCTCACAAGTTCATCAGGTGTGCTCACACACAGCAACCAATATCAAGAGAAGAAAATCAAACGGCATAGCAATCTGAGGTTTTATTTGTAATTATATTTCTGTTTAGTCCTCAGCTGCGGATGTCTTTTATTGTGTTTTCAACAGAGGCACGGATTCTCATGGCTCTAACAGAAGACAGGTGACTCAAACACACTGAGCTGTTTTTTAAATTAGATTTTTGGAGTCATGTTTTGTTGTGATCAGGGTATTTTTTTTCTTGTTTAATGACCAGAGATAGGATTCGTGCCGGGCTAGAGGAGCTGAGCATGGTGGAGCCAGGCGGAGACACCTTCATGGATAAAGGACTTCATAAAGTAATTAAATAAATGTCCCCCGCCCAACATTTTGGCATTAAAACTTTTTAAATGAGGCCAATTTAAATTCAAAGCCACTGACGCCTCAAACTTTTCTCTCCAGGCCAGTGAACAGATTTACTATGGGACTGGTTATGGTGAGCAAAACCTCTTCTTTTGTTTTTATTTGAATGAACTCAAAATGTTGAAAAAGGGCTTTTTGATTTTATTGGACAAACTCTTTGCTACACAACTTCTTTGCCCTTTAGGTTACAGGACAGCGAGCGTCATCATCGCCCTGACAGATGGAGAACTGAGGAAGAATCAGTTCGATCAGGCACAACTGGAGGTGAAAGAGAAAAACAACAAAAAAGGAGCATTTCATCCAAAAATCCAGTGATTTTAACAACAAGTCGGTTATTAATCCTTTTAACCGACTGTGCTCGTGGCCACGCCCTATCAGCAGTGAGAGAAAATGCCTTTAAATACATCATTTTTTAGCTTTTTATTCAAATGAATGTCTTGTTCTGAATCAGGCCAGCAGAGCCCGTCAGTTAGGAGCCACTGTGTACTGTGTGGGGGTGAAAGACTTCAACGAAACACAGGTAAGTACTGTTTATTACCTAATAGTTAAATTAAACATTAATTCAAATATATATTTTATATATTATACTTTTGGCTCATTTATTTAACAGCTGTCCACCATAGCTGACAGTAAGGACCATGTTTTTCCTGTGGATGATGGATTCCAAGCACTGCAGGGTGTCATTGACTCGGTAATCTGGATAAAAAAAAAAGACAATTAAATCATCAAAAGCAAACCGTAACCTTGTTTTTTTTCTGTTAGATCCTGAAGAGATCATGCATTGAGATCCTGGCTGTAGAGCCCTCCAGCATTTGTGAAGGAGGTAAAGAAACATAAACACATACGTGTGGCAGAAGCACTGAAATGATGCACTCAAATTTGCAACATGTAGCAACACTTGATTTCCTCTTTTTTTTTAAAGAAACTTTCCAGGTGGTTGTCAGAGGAAATGGTTTTCTTCACTCCAGAGATGCGGAAAAAGTTCTCTGCAGCTTTCGCATCAATGATACAATTACTTTGAGTAAGTTTTTTGGTGATTTTCTTTCCAACTTGTTAAGATTTATGTGAAACAACAGTAACATACCTGTAGCTCAGAACAGACGTACTGTTCTTCAGCTCTAAGTCAGAGGTCATCTTTCTTAGCTTGAAATCTGCTGCTGAAATGCTCCGAGCTCCTCAGAAGAGGAATATCTGAAAAGGAATGTGGTTCTCACCAGGGATGAGCTGCTGTCTTTTGCACACGTTAGACCTTCAACAAGCCAGGACAAATAAACCACAAACGCTCCCTCATTTTTCTTCACACACAAAGAGGAAGTCCAGGAATTTGATAACAAAACATTATTTTCAGGCTTAAAACTTCTGAAGTTTTAAAAGTAGAAAAGGAAAAAAAAAATCCACTGCATCACAGATTTATTCTGTCTTTGCACCAAATCTATGATTCTTTGTGTGTCCGCAGTGAAGAGGCCTTTAGTGGTGAAGGATACGTACCTTCTGTGTCCGGCTCCTGTTCTGGAAAAAACTGAAACGTGAGTAAATTCTGTTCACGACATGAAGCATTGTGCCAGGGTCTCACTCAGTCTTGTCTGTCATTGTAAACAGGGCTGATCCTAGCAAATTTAGCATCTTAGGCAAGATTTCAGGTGGCCCTTGTGCACTTTTCTGAAACTCACTGTCAATTTACACATTTACATTAAATAGTTCTGTCTTTGATATTATTATTTTTCTTTAAAAACCAGGTTGTCCAATTAAACTATTTAACAAAAAAGTTTATTTGACACAAAACACCAGAAATCTACCTCATATCTCCCAACATCTGCTGACAGCAACAAGGAACACCTGTTCATGTTAACGAGCAGCTGTGGACTGAAGCAGTTCTAAGGGGGTTCAGGGGTATACTCCCCCGGAAAATGTTGTAAAAGATCAAGTTAAAACTTTGTACTTTCCAGACATTTCAAGAGCATTTTACTAAAATCTAGTGATTAATAAAACAAGACAAAAATCAGTATTTTATGAATGTAAACACTGACAACCAGACTCTAACTGGACTTTATCTGAGATCAGAACTGAATCCTTACTTCGTTTTCTATTTACACACTGAGAACCAGTTAGTCTGACCATACTGCTGCATCATACGATACTTTTATCATGAAATATCCTCTGCACCATATAACCTCACAAAGTATCAATGTTATTCAAGTTCAAGTTATCTTTAATATCCCGTGGGGCACTTTGTGTTTCAGCCAGCAGGAAAAAAAACATTTATCAACAATAAATACAGCAAATACTATGAAGGCTATCATGGTATAGGCAAATCATAACCACTACTCAACATGAAGTATTTAAAATACTACATACATACAACAATCAACATGAAGTATTTAAAATACTACATACATACAACAATCAACATGAAGTATTTAAAAGCACAATAAAAATGAATTCTTAAATCTGTTGGTTCTGTGTCCTTTTAAAGTAAATCTGCATCCTGATGGTAAAAGAGAAAACTGTAAACAGAGGCTGGTTAGGCTGTCTGAGCTTTCTTAAGGGATCTATTTCTGTGGAGAGTAGATATATAGTGAAACACTAGCAATTTTGTTGCAAAGACTGAAAATGTGGTCTACAGACTAAAACAACTATAATCTGATAAAAAAAAAGTTATGAAATACTTGTTCACCCCCAATTTGTGGTGCCCCATAGCTGGACGACACCCTTTGCATTTGCCTGTACTTCCTGTGCCGTGGGCCGGCCGCAGCTGCAACAGAACTCATGTAGAAAACAATCAAACACAGATGTAAAACAATGACTTTAAAATGCAAAAAGGCAACAGTTAATAATGGTTGTGTTTGAGAAGTGTCACGTTAAATAACTGTTTTGTCATCTCTGCAGGTCGGCCACTCTTTATGTCAGCATGAATAATGGCCTCAGCTTCATATCCAGCTCTGTCACTATTACTGCTGTCTCTTGTGTGAGTACAGAGGGGATACAAATTCACTGCCTGATGGAGAAAAGTGGGCAACACAAATCAAGATATTTGTTTTTAAGATTGAAATATTCTGACATTTGCTACAGTTTAGATCTGTCAAAACGACGTTTGCATATTTCAGAGCTGCATGTATGCATGAACTGTACTGATTACTGAATGTGGGCAACATGTAACGTTTTGGTTGCAGTCTGATGGGACCATAGTGGGAATCTCACTGCTCATCCTGCTGCTGCTGCTCACCATCGCTCTGCTGTGGTGGTTCTGGCCTCTCTGCTGCACCGTGGTATGACTCAGCATAACTCAGCTGAAGGACCAAAACAAAAGCTTTCGCACAATAAGACAGTAATAAAAAATGCAGTTATTCTTATTATTATTGCTTTGCAGGTGATTCACGAGCCACCTCCTCCAGTAATGGAGGATAGTTCTGTAAGTTTCTCTTTTTTTAGTGACAAATATAGATCATCATTGAAATTCACCACAAATAAACACAATTCTCATCTTCAGGATGACGAGGACGGTTTTCCAAAGAAAAGGTGGCCCACTGTAGATGCATCATACTATGGAGGCCGTGGAGTCGGGGGCATCAAAAGAATGGAGGTAAGTCAGAGAACAAGAGAATAAATATAGTAAACATCATTCAAAGGCAGCAAACTTTTATATAAATATGGAAAATTATTTTATATTACAGCGTTATTATTACCCGGCAGCATCAGAAGTGTGTTTTTATGGAAAAGACTTCACTATTTAAGTGTGATTTCTTTAAAAGTGGGTTATTATGTGGTTACATGCTGGTGGTTTAAATAGTCACATTTGCACAAAATGTCAAAAAAAAAATCAAGTCCAATAATGTAAATGAGAACAAAAAATGACTAAAACATCAACTCATCCAGGCAGGAAGTTAAATGCTAAAATAAAAAAATAAATTCAGCAGCTTTTAATAAATGAATTCAAATTTAAAAAAAGCACAAAGTGGAAGAGCAAAAGTGATTTAAAACATTTTATTGGATGAGCTTCCAGAGGGGAAAAGAAATAAGAAGCAAAGCGAAAACAGGAAATCATTTATACACTGCTCAAAAAAATAAAGGGAACACTTAAACAACGCACGCTAAGTCCAAGTAAATCAAACTTTTGTGAAGCACATTCAACTCTGTACATAACAAAGTACTCAATGTGAATATTTCATCAAGATCGGGAGTTAGCGTGCGTTGTTTAAGTGTTCCCTTTATTTTTTTGAGCAGTGTACTTTTTTCCACTTCAGGTTAAATTCCTTGTATTCAGGAGGTATTTGTTTAGTTTAGCTGCTGTAATCACTAACTTGGTATTTCTCCAATGTTTCCTCTTCTGCTTTCAACAACTGTTTTTAATTTGATTGTATTTCCTCACATGTGCAGCCCAGCTGAGTGAGGTATCGATGCACTAACAGCTTGTCAGCAAGTCTCTCACAGAACTGACTTGATTAACAGAGTTTATGTGACCTCATTGTTGGGCAGGGCTGGGCGGTACCAGGTAAATACAGGACTAGTATCACCGATGCATTTTACTTGAAACGTCATGTTCATTGAATAATTTTGTGATTTTGCCTTGTTGATTATGATGAAACACAGGACAAAAATTTTAGGCAAATAAAATAGTTTTCTCTTAACTAATTAGTACAATACAAAACAGTGTAATAGTATAAAAAAATAATAAAATATCTCCACATTACCCACTACACACAGTTTGTTTAAAAAAAGTCACTAGTGCAAAATAACACATCAACAAAAAAATACTTTATATTACACATAGACACAACAAAAAGGACTGCAGTGTCTGAACTACTGATTTATTTTTTCACTTTATTTTACAAAAAGACAGTTCGTAGTGCAAATAAGAAGCAAACAAAAGTATCAATGTCATCACGCTAGTATTGATCTGATACCACTTAGATCAATACCCACTGTTGGGGCAAGTTTTCTGTTCAAGTTAAAGTTTACTTATGAAAAAAAGTTTTTTTTTCTTAGTTAACCTTCCTGTCTCAGAGTTAACTCCTTGTGTTTTTGGTTATTTTACTTCCTTTCTCTATCACACCTGGTTTCACTTTCTAATCTGCACACCTACTTTTAGTTTCCCACCACTGCTTACAACACTGCCACGGTTTAAAGTTTGCCTTTGTCTGACTGTGGTCTTCGTTTCAGCTGTGGTCTCCAAAAGCTCCCATTTGGTGGAAATGTTATAAGCAATTAATATCTTACCTGTTGTAGATCAGACCTCAGTTGGAGAAATGAAGTTTTTTTTCCCCCTGCTTTTATTTTTCTATTTATTTCCAAAATTAGGTCCTTCAAAGTTTCATCCGCACTAGTGTAAACTAACAACTGTTCATAACTTTAACACTAAACTCCACTTCTTAATATCTGAAATATCTTTATAAGACATTTTTCCGCCCTGTTTCTTGTTAGTTGGAGTTCTTTTAAACACCCCTTGCAGCATCTTTACTGTCAGAATAAAAAGCTTATTCTCACAGTCTACATCTGGTCTGTGGCCTGAAGTCTAGTAGTTCATTCCTACACTACTTGACAGACATAAAAAAAACCAAAAAAATACAAGCATGTTTTTGAACTTTGTAAAAAAGACACAGCAGCTGTAAAACAAAAAAATGCAAGCTTAAAGCAGAACTTGCACACTCAGTACAAGAGGATTCAAATCAGCTCGCTGCAATCGAGTAGTGATAATTGCTACAAAATCAAAGCTTTGCCATTAACTGGTTTCAGGTTGACGGCAGAAATATGTGGTAAAAGTTGTTACAGCCTTTAACGAGTCGAAGGGAGGTGATGAAAGTTGGCAAGGAGATCAAACGGCAGGACTACAAAGAGGTGCAGGAATTCTTGAGTTGAGCACGCAAGTCCACGCCGGATGAAAGCGAGTCACTTTATTGTTGTGACAAACTGTGAGCCAGAGAGAGTTAAAGAGGGGGCCAGCTGGACAGTAAACTGCAAACGCTGCAAAAATACTTGTTGGAATCAAAGAGACGAGAGGTTTTATGGGTCCGAGCTGGAGTGAGTTATCTATTATTGCTGAACAGCAGTTCATTAGTTGAGATAGTCTCAGATGAAAAAAAAAAAGACAAAAGAGGAGTCTTGGAGGAGAAGCAAGCTTCAGTAGATTTATGTACAGAATCAGAAAATAAAGTTGAAGATTTAAATCCTACGTGGTGCTAACAGTTCTGGATCATGGGTCTGAGTGACGATGGTTTCAAATAAACAGAGGTCACCCGGTTTGAGTGAAGTGCTCCTCTGCAGACTGGCAGTGCAGCCTGTGAACTTGTTACAAAGCTGCCAAAAACACACATAATCCCAAACACTGCAGCGGAAAGTATGCGGAGCTTCATTTATGCGTCTCTCTCTGCCAAGTTCAGGCCTTTGTGGTGCAGTAGCTGACAGGGAGTGAAAGTGAATAACGAACCTTCAATGTGATGACGGAGCTGGTTTAACTCCTGGGGTTCTGACTCGCACTTCAGACAGAACCTGAGTTGAAACATTTACCTTTGACTGGACAACTTCTTTGTGTCATGGCTCCACGGCTGAATCATAAGCTTTTATGGTGCGTTCACACCAAGAGCGTTTTGAGCGGCAGGAGCTGCCAGTTTACATGCAAAGTCTATGGCGAACGCGCCTCAAGGGGTTGTGCGTCGCGTCACGCGCGTTATGAGCGGCGCGCAAGGAAGGCGGAAGGGGCGCAGAGCGTTTTCCGTGCATGCGGTGCTGCAGAAGCCGCCGCCGCCCGAGCCGCCGCCAGAGTTCAAATATCTGAACTTTTCGCCGCTCGACGCGTCTCCCACTGAAAACCTAAACAGACGGACTGGAGATCTTTACCTGAAATCGACCATGTGCAGTTGGATTTTTTGGCAGGATTTATCAGCACCGATGTGGATCAGCTGCTCGGGACCAAAAAAAAAAAAAAAAAAAAAAGAGAGAGAAAAAAGTCCGTCAGCTGGCAGCTTCTGGAGTGATGAAACTAACCGAACAAATTGCCTCTAAATCATCTGGTGAGTTAATTATCTGCTGTGCGCAACGTTCGCTTGCTTTTTAGTAAAAAAATCAAAGCCATTTTCTTTTACTTTATCTTTATTTCACCCGCCGAGGACAAGCTCCTCCCACACCTCGCTGCTGCCGCTGCTTGTTCTGGTCTGAACACTAGTGCGTTCTTCAGAGCGTCCAGTGAGAGACGTTTTGCGCTTTTTGGCCGCTCAAAACGCGTTTGGTGTGAACGCAGCATTATTGTATTTTCAGAGGCGGAGCCAGAGGGGTGGCCGGGGTGGCAAGTGCCACCTCTGGCACCCGATGGGCCACCTCAGGTGCCACCAGCAAATAACTGACAAGTGGATGGGGATCTTAGATTTGTATTTGCATTTAGATTTTGTCAAATATTGTTCTCTGATACTACTAGTACTACTGTGCTATATACATTTTTAGCTGTGTATGCTTAAATTAGCATTAGCTTAATTAGGGATTAGAATTGGCAATCAGCATGTGATCATTTTTAGCTGCTCCACAACAAATTTCATCTTAGTAAGTCTGAAAATGGCTGAATTACAGCATTTTAAAGTTAGCTGTGGTAGCCATCTTGAAGTTTTGATTAGCATTTAGGATCTGTTAAAGACTGTTTCTAGCTACTTGTATGCTAGTCTTCAGCTTTGCATGTTTAAAAATGGCTGAAATATAAGTTGTGACTAACATTCAGAATGCTTTTGATCAGTGGTTCCCAAACTTTTTATCTTCTGACCCACAAAATATTCATGGCAAAAACTTGTGACCCCAAATATAACTGGTCTTAGTCCATGAGCTTCGTTGATAACCCTAAAAACACAGGCTTTTTGACAATCTAAACAGCTTGTACACAAATATAAATACTCATTTTTACTTATTTTGTGTTTTTGTAAAAATTATAGGGAAAATATTACATCAGCAATTATTTTATACCCTTTAAATTGGTTTCTGGAGATTATCCAAGGTGCTTCATGACCCATAATTGGGTCCCAAGCCCAACTTTGGGAACCAAAGTGCAGTGGTTCCAAAACTTTTCAGCTTTTGACCCACAAAATAACAGTAACAGAGACCTGAGCCCACAACTATTTTTGGATGATAAACATTTGTATCAGATCAACTAAACATGGACATAGTAACAATATTTATATACTACATTTATCCATTTTAAATACACAAACCTCACTCCTTTGTAACAACTAAGGCAAAAATGTCATTAATTCAGAAAATCTTTTCAGGACCCCACCTTGATGTTTTGGGACTCCACTTTGGGTCCCGACCCCAATTTTGGGAAACACTACTTTTGATGATCACAAAATATTCAGCTCAATATTTAATAGTGTAGCTCTGCTCCTGTGTATATTATAACAAAAAAATAAATAAAATAAAAACCTCCAGTATTTTACAGTAAAAGCTGATGCATGAATAGAATTGTGCTCATCTGGATTTTGTGTTACAAACTTCTGTTTGGGTTCAGGTCCGCTGGGGAGACAAAGGCTCGACTGAAGAAGGAGCCAAACTGGAAAAAGCCAAAAATGCTCGAGTGGTGATGCCGGCCGAGGAGTACGATCCACCTCCACCTCAGCCTTACTACCACAAACACAAAACCATCGGGCCACAGAAGTGGTACTCTCCCATCAAGGTGCTTCACATGCTCCAATTCTTTTTTAATAAAAACAATCCTGTATTCTTTGGCACAATGTATTCTTCTAAATTCCAGTTTCTTGCAAATTATTAGCCATTTCTTTTAAACTTTTAACCCAAACATACTATTTTTTGGCAGCCAGAGAGGTTTTATTGCCAAAAGCCTTGTCCTAAAGCACAGAGTACATGTGTCATATCTACAGATGTTGCTTATTTTATGTGCTTTAACATACATCTGGTGTCTTCTCACAAGAAGTGAATAAATGTGTCTGCTCCAGTGCCTTTTGGGAATGACGTCTTATCAGGAAATAGTTATTTAAGTTCTGCTTCCTCAAATCTTAGTCAACTGAATGGACTGTAATAAAAACCAGACATGAACTAAGCTGACCTCTGAGTATGGAATCTGTTGAGTGGGTCTTATTTTTTTAAACTAAATACAGTCTTTTTTAGCAGTATAAAACTTCTGGAGATGTTTGCATGTCTGAGTCTCAGTTTACCAAAATAACCTGTTTTTCATTTCATGACTAATACATTTGCTCGTCTTTCAAAAGAATTCTGGTTGATGCAAACTTGGCTGTTATGAGTTATTTTTACATGTATGCTGTCGTCTGCGTTTCTGCAGGGAAAGCTGGACGCTCTGTATGTTTTCCTGAGAAAAGGCTACGACAGAGTGTCTGTGATGAGACCATATCCTGGAGACAAGGTGAGACGAGCATCGACTCATCAGCACGTTCGAGATCAAACATTTAATAAGGAAAACAATGTAAGGTTGTAACAGAAAAATAGTAAAAATATATTCAGATAAATAAAAACTGTGTAAATAAAGGTTAAAGCAAAGTTTTGTAACTAAGGTTTAAATTAAAAAAAAAAAAGAAACCAGGATAACATTTTACTTGGTGGCATAACAGTGGTAATTTTATAGATGTATGGAAGTCCATTAATGCCACTGTGATGATTTAAAAAGTCACTACAAGTCATAAAATGGCCCACCAATGTTTATTTATGAAATGGTACATATATAATAGTTATGTCTTAGTATGTAATATTTAAAATTTAGCTTGTCAAAATTATAACTGCTCTGTTTATGACTCAGCGTAATGAGACGATTTATCACTACTAATAAATCATGACTTAGCATGCTATGGTTAGTTAGCATCTAACAATAATAATTCTGATGAAGTATCTTGGTATGAGAAAGAATCCCATATTTATGACCTAAAATCTCAAAATTAAGATTGAAGTATTTCATTATGACGAGACACCAGTTCATAGTTTTGGATGGTTAGTCATAGTGAGGCACCAAGCAAAACGAGGAAATTATTAAGAACATCTCATATGAGATGTTAAATCATTATTGTGAGATATCTTATAAATATGAAGGTGCATCATAATTACTAAGTCATAAATATGAGATTATTTATGAGATGGTATATTATTTATTAAAGATTATGCTATAATTTTTAAGTAACTAAGTTGCTTTTATGAGAAACTAGTTATGACTAACATATATTTTTAACAAAGGGGTAGAAATTGTATTTCCTATTGAATCTGATAAATATTTTAAAATATCTTTAAGGAAAATATAAAGTACAACAGTGAGGAGATTAAGGAGAAACTCTGGTCTGGAGAAAAGCTCCTGCCTGCAGAAGTCATTAGGTGTAAATGCTGCCTGCCTCTTTCAGTTCCCAGCGTCTGCATGAAGGAGTTGGCAAAAACGCTGTTTTCTTTTATGACATTCAATAAATGAAGAATGTGCTTTTTCCAACCAAACTTGCCAGTCGTTTTGCCACAGGAAATTTCAAAAACGAGTCGTGCCTGGTTTCTTTTTGTTGAGATTTTGCTTCTCTTTGCATCTCCAGTTGCACAACGTTCACATTATTTTCTGCTGTCCTCACAGGGCAGGTGCATCAACTTCACCCGGAGCCCATCCTCCCCTCCTCCCTGCTACCCCATCTACAACCACCCCTCCACACCTGTCTACACTTTGCCCCAAAGGAATCAGCGCCGTTCGTCCGACGGGGACCAGGACTTCTACTTGCCCCCCTCGCCAACTTCAACTTTACCTCCTCTACCCTCCACTCCTCCCCCATCCTCCAGCAACTCCCCCTGGTACACGCCCCCTCCAAACAGAGCCTTGCCCCCGACCAACGCCAGCCAAATCGTGGATCCCCCGTCTCCAACCGGCTGTCTGCCGCCTCCGCCTCTGAGCCCCACTCTTTGTAGAGCGCCTCCTCCTTCACGGCCCCCGCCACACCCCAACCACGAGGATCACTGACGAGTCAGAACCACAAATCTGAGGATTCAGGTCTGAAACCTGAAAGACCTTTTGACTGTATTTGTACAGAGCTGAGCTGTTTCCTGCTGCAAAACTAAACTAATCCCTCGCTGGCTTCACTATATCACTCACTACACATGCAGCTAACTTTTGCCAAAACAGCTAATATAAATTCTACCATATTTCTACGATAACTTCGTGCACGTCTCAGAGTTGCTGCTCACGTTTCTTAAAGTGTGGGTTGATCTTTGAGTTGTGTGTGTAAACTACCAAGTACCATCACAACGGAGGCGATGCAGCAGCCAGAGTTACAGACTGCAGATCTGGGATCAGATTTGTTCATGCCTTAATGATGTGCAATAAATCAGTTAAAAATAAAGATATTTATTCTTTTGATTGTGTTAGAGTTCATCAGTTGCGTTTTATTAGAGGACAAAGGCTCAATTGGATTCCTTGGTGAGACATTTTAACAGTGTGTTAAAGAATCACCTGAACTTTATTAATAGTTTTGGTCTTCTTGATTTGCACCTTAAATGGAAGCAGTCGTGTTTGAAGTGATGTTCAGTCTAATAGTTATCAGTGGTTAGCACCTCATCAGCAGTGGCATTAGTCATAGAATGTGGGTCATGGAGAAAGAGGCAAAAATAAGTGTTTTTTGTGTGACATCATTTGTTACGTTTGTTGTTTTCTTCAACTGTACAATGTTTGTGTTACTATAGATCAACGTGCATTGATCACGGATAAACTGTGTATTTGCTGACGCTGCTGAATTCACCCGTCCTTTAGGTTTTGAGTGAATTCTCAACTGATTTAAAGTGAAAACTGTGATTAATAGGTAGACCTTGGACCTTGCAATGGTTTGGCTAGACCAGGGGTGTCTAATCCTGGTGGGTCACTTTCCCGTGTGTTTTACTTGTTTCTCTCCTCCAACACACTTGATTCAGTGATGAAGTTACCTCTTCAACTTCTGCAGAAGCCTGTTAATCACCCGTTCATTCAAACCAGGTAAGCTGAAGCAGAAGAACTTTTACCCACGAAGCCATTTATTTTTGGCCCACTAGCAGGTGCCCTGTTATCTAGTCTGTAGTCTTCTTTTACATTGTGTACAAACTCTGTATTTCCACTGACAATCATTACATCCATTGGCCCAATGACTATATAAGGGGCAGTGGAGATTTCACTCACGGTGCTTAATTTATCTTTCAATTATATTACGATTAAGAAATACAAGCAACTACAAAAGATATTTAGATTAAATTTAAGCACACATGTAGATTTGCACACTTTTTAAAATCACAAATCGTATTTTATGAAATGTCCCATGAGTCCTTGCTGCCTGAGCAAACTTTCTCCAAGTGCACGGGAAACAAACAAACAAAAAACAATGTGGACCTAACCCTCTTTTTGGCCCTCTTGTGGAAGAAGATTGGGCACCCCTGTTCTAAGACATGCAGGATGGTGGCCCTCAAGGACCAGGATTGGGCAACCCTTGGCTAGTCATTATCCCAGCCTGGATGAAAACCTTTGCCTCTTTCTACATATCCGTGCTCTATGACTGATGTCAAGGTTGAGGAGGTATTGTTAGACAGAAAATCCCTTCAAATATGTCTGGACAAAAAGCTTTGTGTGGCTGACTTTATGATCAAAATCTGCAGACAAGTGGTCAGTTGTTCACATTAGAAAAGGCTTTACATGTGTTCCAGCAAAACTTGAATCAAACAGGGTTTTTTTTGTTGCTAATGAAATTATAGATGTTTGATGTGAAATGAGATAAAAAGAAAAACAATTGTCACATTCCCTTACGCAGCGATAACCACAGAAGATGAACAGAAAGATCTACAGACTAAAAACACAAAAGATTTTGCAAAAAAAAAAAAAAGTCAGAAGTGAAAAAAGAGGACCACACATTAAAACTGGAATGTGAAAATGCAGAGGAGGATGTGTCGTCGTTTACAGGAACTTCAGCCAGATATCTGCAAAAGATTTTCCTTTAATCTTAGACGAAGAAAAAACAACAAAAAGTAATTGGACTGGGACGTTATGTAAGAAGCCACAAAGCAGTCTGTCAGCTGGGTCTTATTCCATTCAGACCTTTAAAAAAAAAAATCCTATTTCCAATGTGTTTCAGGTTAATATTTACTTTATATTTGGAAATTAAAAAAGAAAAAAAAGTCAGTCTGATCTGCAGATCTGTGGGCACAGCTTTTGTGGCTTTTAGAAAACTTCCAGAAACAAAGTTGTTGTAATAAACAGCTGCAGAAATAAATGTAAAATCCAGCTGCAATGCAATAAAGATCTGAAAGAATGTGAACTTTTGTTTTAAACTGACCACGAAAAGAAACTTTAGAGGCTGATTACAACTTAAGGGCGCAAAGAGTTTGTCTTTTCTGGTGGTTATAGTTTTATTTTGACACAAACATGCAGTATATTCCATTTTAATTCAATGTGAAGTATTTACTTCAGTGAAGCAGCTCATAATCTGCCTTACTTCTATTTTCCATGCACTCCCTTCAAGAAAGATGGAACCTAATCCTTTTTTTTTCTTTTTTGGTAATTTTTGCTTTTAAGCTGTTAGAAAAACAAGGGGCTCATCTTTAATACACTCAAATTACCTTCCAAGATATTTTGGCAGCAAACTGTATGTTAAGTAATCAGGGGTTCAAAACATTCTAAGCTCTCTTCATTTTGTACCAACCTTATTTTCCATTTTACTTCTGCATTTTTTTGGTAATTTGAAAAAAAGTTAATCCAAAAATACAGAATGGAAAGACGGTGCTTTTTGTCAAAACCGTACTTTAAACAGACAAAAAGAAATCCTGCTGAACTTCACTCAGGTTTAAAGCAAAAACTAAAGGTTTTAAATATCAGGTTGTTGTTTTTTTTTAACCTATTAAGATCAGGGACTTCTAAAATGAACTGCTTTTGTTTGGTCTTAAAGTGATAAACAATATCTTACCTGTTCTAGATAGATGTTCGACCAGTCTCAGTTTGGATAAATTGAGATTATTTTCAACCAGACTGATGAGCAAACAGCGAGTCAGAGATAAGACCAAAGTATAGTTCAGATTATTTTATGACACCGTTAATTTTTATTTGCTATTTGCACTTGAAACTAACAATAAAATGCTTATAGATAATGATCATGTAAAATCAACAACGTGAAAATTTAAAAAGTTGCATTTTCATAAATCACACACACACACACACAAAAATCATTAAGATTGGACCAGTCCTGTGTTTGTCTGCGTCTCTTTCCTGTCCCCCCCAAACCCAGCAGGTCGAGGCCGATGGCTGCCTGTCCTAAGCCTGGTTCTGCTGGAGGTTTCTTCCTGTTATGGGGGAGTTTTTCCTCTCCACTGTCACAAACGTGCTGCTCAGGAGGAGACTGTGACGAAGTGAAGATTCAGCACAGTCTGCTGGCTTCTTTAGATTCATTGATTTTTGTGTTCAGTGCCCTGAAGCAACATTTGTTGTGATTTGGAGCTATATAAATAAACTGAATTGAACTGAAGATTGACGTTTTAAGAAGCAGTGATCCAGTTTAGTCTTGGCTTTGATGGTAGCTTGTCAGCTTGGTCAAAATAAAACTATTTCTCCAAACGGAGGTTGTTCAAAAATCTAACAACAGCAGGTAAGATAGTAACATTTTTTAACCTTTCCACTGAACCCCACTTCATAAGATCAGAATGGTTTAGTGGGTTAGGGACCACTAAGTGTTTACATTACTGCTGAATGTGAGCAGGTGGTCAACGTGGAAACATGGAAGGCCTGAGGTGAAACAAACAGTGACGCACAAGAACACGTTATGATCTTCTATAATTCTCCTGCAAGAGGGTCAGATTTTACTACAGACATAACCACAAGCCTGCATCTCTTTCTGGGTTTTGCCAGTTGCAAACAGCATCCAGGAAGAAGTTTCAGTAATGTCTCGAAAACTTTTCCAAATGTTCTGAGTTTTCTTGCAGGGACTCGCTTTAAGTCGCAAGAGACTAAGACTTGTAAAGCCAAACTGATTTTATTTTTATTTTTTTAATTGTGTCTCCAACAGGTTGCCAACAATTAAAGCTCAGTCAAATGTAGGTATAAAAGTAAGAGTGGCTGAGCTTTTGAATGGGATGAAAAAATCTCACTTTAAAGCATGGAGCAGCAAGACAACAATGAGTAAACATTTAAGTTTTTATTGGTGATTTCTCTTTATATCCAGTAATAATAAGCAGATAATACAGTGTACAGATCCAGAATTGCACCTGACAGAATATGACCTGGAAAAGGCAGCACAGTTAACAAAATGTAACAAAATACAAAGACAAACTAATCGGATGCATAATTTAAAACCCTAATATGACAAAAGCAACATAACAGAGTGATGAAATGATGAAAAAGTTCTGACATACAGTGATGCATAAAACTGTTAATTTCTCTAAAGAAAAACAAACAATTAAAATCAAAGATCATGATTACATACAGCACCTCTAGTGACCAGCCATTGTGGATTTTAGGAGCATATTCTAATGAAAAGTGCGTTTAGATACAACTGGAGTCTTTTTTCAACTTTCAACTGTGCAAAAATCTTTCAACACTGATTTTTTTGGCTCGGGGTAAAACGCTAACTCACATAGATAATAAACATTAAGACGCTGCTGAGAATGAACGCACAATCTGTAACTAAATGTAAACAAGAGATGTAAAAGGGCATGAATTAAAAAGCAGCAACTTTAAACCAAAGCTAATATTTGAAGGTATAAAACACAAAAAAGTTGATGATTTTTTTAATCATAATGAAACATCAATAATAAAAGCATGACAGATTGTGTTTTTAAGAAAAAAAAAAGTATTTTTAAGGAGCTTCTAAAATTTCTGCATTTCCTCGTGAAATTCTGATTTGTGAACCTTTTGAGCAGAGACTGAAAACATGACCTGACTGAGGTAGTAATACTTCAGTAATTATAATAAAAATGAAACTACATTTGGGATTTAAGTAATACTGCAACTGAACTTTGGCTTCTTCTTTGTGTGAAAAGTTCAGATTTGGCGTTTTGTAAAGATAACATCAGATTAGTTTGGTTTCCCTTGTGAGCACCTTGGATGAAAAGGCGCAGCGTAGATCGGGTCATTCAGAGTTTTTCCCACTACGGTCCAAGAACGCAGAGGCCCCACCGCCACCGAGCCTACAGCCGCCTGCTGACCGACCCTGGAGACGACCCGGTGCACCGCCATCATGGGCTGCTGGAGCAGAGGGGTCTCTGGGTGCAGAGGAGCGGCCCGGACAGCAGGCCTGAATATGTGAGCGTTAGAGGGGGCAGCTTGGTTGGTTTCCTGCCTTCTTCCGAACGGCGCCTGGAGGAAAACATCAGCCGTCTCAGCAGGTTTGTGAGACGCAGCACTGGAGCAGCTGCTGAGTGCCACTCTGCTGTCGTTTCCTGGGGGTTTGAAAGGAGCCAGCTGGAAAACATCACATGGGACTGAACTATGTGGAGGCAGGAACTGGGAATTGTAGTTAGCGGGGATGAAATGACGAGCGGAGCAGGGAGTTTGGGAAGGGTGGTGCTGAGTGGCCCATTCACCGGACAGCAACACGTGTTTATTATTAACAACACATGCGGCGACGCTCGGCTGGAGCCGCTGCTTTTCTTTCTCCTCGCTGAAAAGCTCCAGAGCTGCAGTCTGAGCGGCTTGGAGTTTGTTATTGTTGAGCTCCCTCTGCAGGGCTGTGTGTGGAAAAAACACAAGCGAAAGTAGGATGAGACACACTACTGTACGCAGAAAAACTCTAATCCACGTTACATAAACAAACAAAATGTTTTAAACTAAACTGAACACAAGCATCCTGAAGTGGCAGAGCTGCACCTTCATGCAATAAAGATAAAAAGAAGGGATGAATGAAGTGAAATTAGTGAGCTGAAAGTATCAGAGGGTGGGGTTTTATCCCTTGAATCGGACAGAGAACTCATCAGTCTCATCTGTGGAGTCCTTCTAGTTCTTGGGAACCATCAGCCAACCCCCAAGACCTCAAAAACTACACAAAGACTGCAGCTGACCACTCCACCCCGCTCATCCTAAGGGTCTTAAAATGACATTTTTATTTCTGTGTGTGTGTGTGTGTGTGTGTGTGTGTGTGTGTGTGTGTG